ACGTCGTCTCGGCTCTGGGCCTACCTGCAAACAAGGCCATATATTCACACACACGCAAATACATACATACATGCATACATATGGACGAATGTGCAGAGAATAGGGACGTGGATTGTGGGATTGCACTGCAAGTGGAGTGAACATTTTAGGCGTAAAGAACGCTTGAAAGAGGTAATTAAAACCTCTGGTCGATCTAAAACAAGTGGTCGGCCGGCGGAACTGGTAAGGTTAGAAAAATCATGTGAGGTGGAATGTTGGAGCGATTCACAGGACGGCTGGTTCCACCGGGCGTCGCATACAACAGGTGGTCTCTTGGTCCGTCGGCGACCAGTCGGTGGTACCCACCGGTTTGCGTGTCGACACGACGGAGTAGGCGTGAATGCGTGAAGGGCACTTTGAGCAAATCTCTGCAGACGACGGTGTGGAGGTGGGCCCGGCTGTCGTCACGTCGGCTGCACTCGTGACCGGCAACTGGTGACTGTGTCCGCCATTTGAGGTACAGTTCAGGCGGATCGGGTAATTCTCAGACCGCCACTTGCTGGACTGGATCAGGCAGATCCACTTGCGTCATGACTGTCGCATCAAGACCGGTTTCCGCGAATAGACACACTTGCTTCCACCAGATCCCTCACGTTCATCTGTCCCCATACACACACACACACACACACACACACACACACACACACATATGGCCAGCAAGCCGACTTCTCAAGCCCAAGCAGCCAGTTGATAATCGACTTGACAATTACTGTACACAGTTGGTTTGACCCCGTTTTCGAAACTTGGTACCGGCCTCGTCGGCCAGACAACCTATGATCCTACCCAGCGTCGACCGTGTCTTCGCCAATGTGCCGTTCGTCCATAGCATATCCTCGAATTTCCCACCTCATTGAGCCTGTGAAATGTCCTTGAATCTGCAAATTTCACAATTTCACACGAGAAAGTATCATGACGACTCTTGCAAGAGAACACCGAACAAGCCTTCCCCTTAGCAATCACCCTGACGACACAGAAGTGTATATTTTTTTCGAGACTTGGTATTTCAGATAGCTTGGCATAATGCCGGGCACGTAGACAAGCACACAGTCGGTAGATTTCTGTACTGAGAGGAGGAGGTGACCCACAATGATGCGTTGAGACAGTCAAATAGGCAAAAAGTGATTTTATTCATTTCATTTTGCAAAGTTCAACTATAACCTTTTCCTCCATCTTGACCGACTCAAGCTCTTACTCAATAATTACTCATATTTCGACGCATAATTGAGTCGAAAACTGCAATGCCATAATATTGTAATTTTGCAGAGACCAGATCTGCCTTTAAGGTGACATTTTTCCCATGATCCACTACCGCACAAGCCTGTAGATGTGTGGAGGAATGGTAACGCGTCATGACGTAAAGCACACAACACATTGTTGGGGGGGTGGCTGACATGGCAGAGGTGAGGTTGAAACTGTAGCCCGGCTAGGCTGGTAGAGCCCTTTGTGAGGTGAGGCTGAGCGAAACTAAATGGTATCGTCAAGTTTGTTCACGGTATGGTATGAAACGTGTTTTTTATAATTCTTCAACTCATCTTGAATGAACCAGATTGGCACATGTTCGTGTTAAAGAATTGCGGATAGTTTCGAAATGCAATGGCAAAAGAAAATCAGCTCAATCAAACATGCCATTATAAAAATGTGTTATGAAATTCACGTTTAACCGGTGACTCAGGACCGCTTGTACCATGACGGGATTACACGTGGCACCAAGAAAGGCCAGGCTTGAGTAGCGTTGGGCGTAGAGTTGAGAAGAGTTCAGGTGGGGTAGAAACTGGCGTTGCGATTAGTCCAGTCAGAGTGGGAATGGAGTTGAGGAGACGAAGCGAAGGGGAATTCCATGCAAACGTAAAGCCGACCGATAGGATTTCGAGAAAGACCAATTGACATTCGTAAAATCCCCAAGAGGGGCGTAGGCTAAAAAGTGCTTATTCAGAAATTGGTGATAGCCCAATTTGGCACTCGAATCGCATTCGTGAACTCTGCTTCGACAAGCCTTCCGGCTACAGACCTCCTCAAAACTACTCCTTTCATTTAAGTATATTATTTTTGCACCAACTGTCATTCGCCTTCAAAAATATTATCTGGCCCCATCTAAGCGGTGAATTCAGTTTACAACACGATGGACCATTCCATGTTGTACACAAAGAAAGCGCACCCGCCCCCATGTATGAATGTTGGCATGAAATGGCCGAACAAATCTGGAGAAGACTCATCAGCATCGCAAAATTTGGCATAAGTACTGAATAGGATTGCATCCGGCCAGCCTTAATTCTCAGCCAATTTCAGTTGGCATGCTTTTTGGAAAGTATGATTCCTTTTTTCGAGGACGTCTGTCACGGCGGTACAGACGACAGCTTAGAACGGTTGCACAGAACCTCCCGTTTAGTATTAATTGAAAAAGGGCTTTCTATAAATCTGGCATAGATAATTCTGGTCACTATGGGTCGAATAAGCTGATGTAGGATTGGTAGTTGAAGTTTATCACAATCACATGAGTGCACCACACGTTTCACATAAACATATATCCCAAAAGCTGTTTTCTTCCCAGTTGGATTGAGCTACCGTATTCCCCTTGCCCATGTCACGTCAACCAACCCAAGCGAGAATCTAATCCCTACGCTGATGAAACCAAGCTCCATAATATGTGAAAGATGCGGCCTACCAATCCTTCATATGAGTTGTATTCACACTATTTCGTTTAAGGTGATGAAGGACTGGTAGTAGAATTTATCCACAATGATATATGGAATTTGACAAAAATTGGGAAATTCAATGAAAATATCAGCTTCTAATCATATCAATGGGGGAAAATTATACCACCAGCCCCTAATCACTTTATACGAAATAGAGTGGATACATCTCATATAACCGATTTACTGGTAGTAACGAAACTCTACTTGTATACCAATCCTTCCTCAAGAACTGGCCCCTCTTCAATCTGTATCGCTGAAAAGCACAAATGAGCTTCTAACAAGCGAACTTTGCGATCCAATATCATCGGATAGCTTTTAGCTGCCTACAAACTGGTTGAATGCACCGGAAATGGAAACAGATTTGACTCGGAGTGGAGTAAAGACTGTTGAACTGTGCCAATAAGTCCTTCCCCCTCACCCCCCCCTTCCCACCCCGATGAACCCGTTATGAGCTTTTGTCTGTACCGCCATGACAGACGTCCTCGGAAAGAGGAATCATACTTTCTAAAAAGCATGCCAACTAAAATTGGCCGAGAATTAAGGTTGGCCCGATGTAATCCTATTCGGTACTTATGCCAAATTTTTCGATGCTGATGAGACTTCTCCAGATTTGTTCGGCCATTTCATACCAGCATTCATACATGGGGGGTACGCTTTCTTTGTGCACAACATGGAATGGTCCATCGTGTTGTAAACTGAATTCACCGCTTAGATGGGGCCAGATAATATTTTTGAAGGCGAATTACAGTTGGTGCAATAATAATATACTTAAATGAAAAGAGTAGTATCAAGGAGGTCTGTGGCCGGAAGGCTTGTCGAAGGAGTCAAGATGAATACGATTCGAGTGCCAAATCGGGCTATCAGCAATTCCTGAATAAGCCCTTTTCAGCCTACGCCCCTATTTGCGAGTTCACGACTGTCGATTGGTCTTTCTCAAAATCATATGATTCGGCTTTATGTTTACATGAAATTTAACATAGCCTTGCTTTCCCAAAAGGTATTCAAATCCTTCACGTATGTTTGGGGAAAAACTCAACTACCAGCCGTTCAACAGCCTAAACGAAATATACTGAACACATTTCATCAAACATACTTTTGTTGAATTCCATTCCATTACAGACGAAATTTTGCGGTGAGAGCATTCGAGAGTGTATAGCACCCAAATTCTTAGATTCTGGTGAAAACGCAACAAGATTTCGTCCATCATATGAAGGACATCATCAGAGTAGGCTAGCATTCTGGAGCTAACTAGTCGGAAAAAATTAACCGTCTTCTCTCTAAATTCTTCAAACATACCCTAAACCTTTGAAGCTTGATACGAACCACTGTTACGCAAGCATATATTCGTCATCATACTTGATCTTGTTACTCAGTTTTCTTTTAAATATCCTTCTAAACAATCCGTAATTTTTGAATAAGCAACTATTTTTCAGAAGTATCTACATGCTCGAGTGTAATATCAATGCATGCATGCCATTTCACAGGTGGAATGTCACATGTGGCTTGTGAGCCGCTGAGATTCATGACTGATGATGATGATGATGATGATGATGATGATGATGATGATGATGATGATGATGATGATGATGATGA